ATAATAATAATAATAATAATAATAATAATAATAATAATAATAATAATTCTTATCTTCCCTTAGAATAGCATCATTGGCCTGGCCTTTAAGTTTTAACCCTTGGGTGCTGATAAGGGAATAGTTTTAGAAACTGCCTGATGACACACCATATTTAAAAAGGGAGCTCTACCCTGCAAAACATGGTAAAGAAGCTCCAACAGCACTGCCACTATATGTGCCATGGTGACTGGAACGGCTTCTCCTTCCCAGAATAGTTCTGATGGTGCCTGAACGCTGAGATGGAAGCCCTGCCCTTTCCCCTCCCTTGAAGAGCCTCAAACACAGAACACTTACCAGAAAGATGGCAATGGCCCCGCCGGTGAGGAACCCAGCCAGTACATCAGACCAATGGTTCCGGTACTCGGCTACACGCACCACACCCACCAAGAATGCTGGGCCGAGGAGTGCCAGGCACAGGGATGGCTTGGCCAAGCGGGAGCCCTTCAGCTGAAAAACCAGTGTGACATACATCTGTGGAAAAGGAAGAACAGCATAGGAGAGTTAGCTGAGATGCCCTTCATCTTCCTTGAAAAGGGCTCAAAATGTTGCACAGCATAACCATGCATATATAACCAAGGCACAACTCTTTTTAAAATAAGGAAAAAAAGACAGGCAGAAGACCAGCCAATCTGGTATAGTGGTTAAAGCAACGGGATAAAAACTGGGAGACCGTGACTTCTAGTCCTGCCTGCAACATGATGCCAGCTGGGGGAGCTTGGGTCAATCCCTCTTCCTCAGATAGGAGGCAAAGGCAAACTGCTTTTGAAAACCCAGCTTGAGATGGCCCAACTGAGAAGTGACCCAGCTGGGAGGTGGCCCAGTGTTCTAGCTGAGAGATGGAGAGATAGCCCGGCAGCTGAGCTGAGAGACGGAGAGGTGGCCCAGCAACCCTGCCCGGCAGTTGACCGGAAGTGGTGAATTGCAAACGGAGGTCATTGAGCAGTGGTGAAACAGAACTACAGTATGTGGCAGCAGACCAGTGGCTGAGAGCAACACACTGGACCCTGAGTTAAGAGAGAAGCACTTCCTAGAAAAAAACCCGGCATTTCTAACAACAACAAGAACAAAAATGCATAACACTTCATAAAGGGCCAAAAAACGTATAAATCCTTAAATTTTTAGAATTTCTGAAGTTTTTTTAAAAAACTAATTGTTTTAAATTTTTAAATTTCTCTTTTCAATTTTCAGTTTATTTTTTCAATTTTTAATTTTTTTTCAATTTTAAACCTTTTTTCAACTTTTAAATTTCTTTTAAATTTAAATTCAACAATCTCAACAACCTCCTCCCCCAAATAAGAGATCAACCCCAATTTGGAACCCCACTTTCTTTCCCCTGACAGCTGCCCCGGTGCCTCTCCTGCTGTCGCCTCCATGAGGCAGGAAGATGCATTGACAGCAGCCTTCGCCCCTGACCACTGCTAGCCGGTCTGCCTGCCTACCTGCTTCTTTACTGTCTCCCTCAGGTGGGCCAAGGCCGCTGGTAGCGGTGTGAAAAGTGGAAGAGGAGGAAGAGTGGCTGGCCAAGACATCTGAGCCCAGTTCCTACAGGGTGAGTGGCACTGACATGGTCGCTGCTGCTGGGCCCCTAAAAAGGGGAGTGGGAGAAATGGAGGGCACCATGATTTTTGCCCTTTCCTTGTCTTAGCTGTGTGCCGCCACCACCTCCATCTTGGGGATGGTGGCAGCTGGGACGAGCCAGAGGAAGCACGGAGTGAGAACCAGAAGGGAGGCCGAAAGAGCACCACTGCCTCCCCTTAACCTCTTCCTCTCTCCCTCCACCAATTGCTCATCTCCCTAGGTGGCCCTGCTACAGGCATTCAACCGTTGCACCATGCTTGCAGCAGATACATCAATGGGGAGCATAGGCATAGGCAGGGCAGGTGTGCACTTTCCAGACCATGTTCCAATCTTCATTCACCAGCTGCCTCCATCTGTCAGCCTGTCCCAGACCGTTCCCCTCCAAAATGTGGTCTGTTGGGTTACAGATTTATTTTCCTCCTCCCTGTCCCCAAGCAGCAAAGCTGGCTCCAGTCTCTCCTTTTAGTGAGTGCTTTTGGGTGTTTTTAAGCACTTTCCATGTTTATATTCGATTATAAAATGGCCTCTCCAAGTGGCTGGCTGGACTGCTTCCTTCTTTCCCTCCCGCTTCCCTCCTTTTCTTTACTTCCTTCTTTTCATCCTTCTTTCTTTCCTTCCTTTCCTTCTTTCTTTTCCTCCTTTCCTTCTTCTTTCCTCCCTTCTTTCCTCCCCTCCTCCAACAGCTCCTTTGTTCGGCTGCTGCGGAGGAAGAGGACAGAGAGGTTTGAAAGAGGGGTTAAAGAGGCCATCTATGTCAAAATTGAACAGCCCTCTCAATAGAGGGGGGGGGGAGATTTGGCATCATCTATCTCTAGTCTACAACAGTCCTTTTAATAGTTTCACACCCATTTGCACTACTCAGGTGACCCTGGTGACAAATAAACCCCCCAAAGTAGTCTCAATGATTGTCTAGAAGAATGCAAATGTCTAGCTGTCTGCAAGGAATATAGATTCTTCCATTCTCCACCATCCAGTCAGAGCTGAAGAAGCTTCTTGGATGAGAAATGAAACATCTTCAAAGAAAAATAATAAAGTGCAGTTGCCTCTTGAAAAAGCACCTTTGGGACTGCTTAAATCATTCTGTACACCAGTCTTCAAACAAAAAGAAACTATAACCCAACCTATCAAAAAGCTAACCATAAAAGACAGGACAGAAATAAAAATTAAAATAAGCAAGACAATGGTTAAAGATATGGTTTGATCTTGATGAATATAAAGTACCAGGATTACATCCCAGAGTTCTGAAGGACCTGGCAGATGTTGAACAGTGGTGGGATTCAAAAAACTTTACTACCGGTTCTGTGGGCATGGCTTGGTGGGCGTGGTTAAGTGGGCATGGCCATGTGACTGGGTAGGCGTGGCTTTGGGGTTTTTTGCTTTTTGGGGGGAGCCTCTGGGGGGCGTTTTTGCTCCCAAAAGGCTTCTCTGGAGCTCAGGAAGGCAAAAAATGGAGGGGGGGGTTCAGCCCCTCCCTCCATTTTTTGCCTTTCTGGCCTCAGCAAGGGCAATCCCAGCACAGCTGATCATATGAACAGCTGATTGTCAGGAGGAAAAAGAAAGAAATACTTTAAGGGGCAAGCGTCAGGCGGGCGGGGTAAGTGAGCATTGGGCAGGTAGGCCAAGCAAGCCAGCGGCATCTGGGCGACCAGGCTGGGGGTGTGGCCAGCCACAACTTACTACCGGTTCAGTGACCCATGCCAAATCCTTGCTACCGGTTCACCCGATGCTGTGCAAACCGGCTCAATACCACCGTCTCAGAATCATTCTACCATATCTTTCAAAAATCCTAGAACACCGAGGAATTAGAAAAGAGCTGATGTGGTTCCCATCTTCAAAAAAAAAAAAAGGGTGGGTGAGATGGGGGGAATAGACCCAGGAAACTACAGACATCAATGTCTAACATCAATACCTAGGAAGATACTGAAAAAGATAATACAGATTGTCAACTAAAAAATACTTCTTTAGTCTCTTTAGTTGCCAGCAGAAAGGGAGTGGGGAAAGCAGTGCATTCCTTAAATGCTTCAGATAATCACTTTGGCAACCAAAGCTTCTGGCGCACAAAATTATTACTGGAGAGCATGATTGATGACTCTTGGCTATGGATGTGTCTCTTTGGGGAATATACATCCAAGGGGTGGGGGGAAGACCAGGGTCAAGGATGAAATGAATGATATGTCAGAGTCGACTGCAACCAGGAAACACCGACATGTCAACTCCTCATAAATCAATCTTTTTTACTCTGAGAGATGTAGCTAGAGACTTATGATTTGAATGGGGGGGTGCATGTTGGAGTCCTGACACAGATCTGCGAATATCTAGAAACAGATAAAGCAATAACTAGCAGTCAGCATGGATTTGTTAAAAACAGATCATGCCAAACCAATCTTATTTCATTCTTTGACAGTGACTAAATTTGTAGACCAGCAAAATGCTGTGGACCAGGGGTGGGATTCAGTTTTTTCAACAACCTGTTCAGTGTGTGTGACTTAGTTGGTGGGTGTGGCTTGGTGGTCTTGTGACTGGGTGGGCATGGCCAACTTGACATCACTCATGTCAAGGGGTGCTTCTCCTCGCCTGGCCTCTCATGATGGTGGAGATGCTGCAACGGCCATAAGTGTGAAAAATCATCATAAGTCATTTTTTTCAGTGCCATTGTAACTTTGAATGGTCACTAAATGAACTGTTGTAAGTCAAGGATTACCTGTACAAAAATACAAAAAGCTTCTTTGCTTGCAAATCATTAATTAATACCAATCATTAGATTAAAAATATCTGCAAGCCAGAGTTACAAATCAGGCAGGGTGCCAGAGCACCTTAAGGAATGAAAATAGTTAAGATGCAGTGATAACTATCAAGCAGCCAATTCTTGCTCATAAAGTGAAACCCTTTAGCAGAGAGGTCATCTAAGTTCTCCAGAAAAAGCACACCCAAGAAAAGCAATCCTTAGATCCATTTGCACCACTTAAACACACCAGCTGGTCTCACTCACCTCACAAGATATCCTAAGGAAACCATCCAGATTTAAGGAAAGGTCACATGCCCCCAGAAAGGCAGTAAAAAAAAACAGTGCCAAGCTTGCATCCTGCCTCTTGGCAGTATACCCCAAAAGGACAGTGCCAGATAGTACTAAAGCAGTGAAGGAAGACCCCCCCTCCCCAGAAAGAAAAAGAAATCATGAGGCAGGAAAAAATCCAAACACAATACAAATAATTAAATGACAACAGTAGCTGCTGCTTGTTGAAGCTGAATAGGGAAAATTATCCCATCAATAAACACAGGATTAAAGGTCACCAAGCACAGAATAACCTTCACAAAAACCAGTTTTAGATCAAAACCCAGAAAGCAGAAGTGGTATTCAGCAGGTTCTGACCAGTTCTGGAGAACCGGTAGTGGAAATTTTGAGTAGTTCGGAGAACCAGCAAAGACCACCTCTGACTGGCCCTGCCCCCATCTATTATCTGTCTCTCGAGTCCCAGCTGATCAGCTGGGTCTTTTTTTGTTGCCCTGCACAGGAGAACAGAGCTGGAAAGCAGGTTAGTGAGGTCGGGAGGGAATGGAGATTTTACAGTATCCTTCCCCTGCCATGTCCACCAAGCCATGCCCACAGAACCGGTAGTAAAATTTTTTGAAGCGCACCATTGTCAGAAAGGGTATGTAAACTCATGTTTGAATGTCAATCTTCCTAGCTAGCCAAGAAGCCTTGCTGAATGTCGCTCATCTTGGTTCCCTGTCACTAAAAGCTTTGCTTCATTATTCAATTATTTCTTCAAAGTGCTGATTGTCCAGGGAACTATTTCCTCCCAACAGCAGTGTAAAAATCTTAAAACAACCCTTTCCCTTTAAGAAAGTCAAGACCCAGAAGCTCTGGAGGCAGGAAGTCTAGGCGTTCTGGCAAGAATGTAATAAGGGTGGGAAAAAAAACAAAAGGAGATTGCTTCTAACTACAGGGTTTCCAAATGGTTAGAAAGTTAACAAGGGGTTCTATAGAACCAGACAGAACTGGTAGAATCCCACCCCTGCTGTGGACATACCGTGTTTCTCACAAAATAAGGCCGGGCCTTATTTTTTTTTTGAACCCCCCCCCCAAAAAATGGCTAGGCCGTCTTTTCGGGGGTGACTTAATTCCCCCCCTTGCATCCTCGGGCAGATGGGTGGCAATGGCTTGGATGTTGACCTCAGCGTTGGTGGGGCACTTCATATCAGGAAACCTTCTGCCATCATTGCTTTCCCTTCTCCCCGTGCTGCCGTGGTGTTTAGAGCAATGCCGCGGCGTTCGGTGCAGCCGTGCGCGGCCAGCCAGGGCTCCTCCCTGCAACTGGAGGCCGGCGGAGACACTCGGCTTCAGGCACTCCTGTTGCTGCCTTCCCTTCGCCTTCGAAGGCAAAGCCAATTCTTTTAAAAACAACTCCCTACTACCGGTATGACAAAGACTTCCCTGTCTGAGAGGGCAGCCCAACCCCACGTGGGGAGGCAAATCTCCCGGGGCCACAGCTCAGGATCGGCCCACCCCGGGAGAAGTGCCCAGCTGCCATCCCTGCCTGACGTTGGGCAGAGTGTGAAGAGCTTTGCCTGGGGCTCCCAGCGTAGCTGACAGGTGGACCTTCCTGCCTGGCGGCAGAGCTCTTGCCAAGGCAGTGAGCGCCTCCCCACTGGACCCTCCACTCATCTCGTCAGGTCCGCAACGAAGCCATGCGGGCTGGGTAGAGCCAGGAAAATGAGCCGCGGGTGCACGCCCACCTGCCAACCGAAAGAGCCGGGCCGACCTGAGCTTGGTCCCTCCAGCCCAAACCCGAAGGGGCCACTGGGAGAGGCTGCCCAAGGCAGTGATAGCGCCCACCTATTCATGGACAGGGAGGCAAGGCGACAGCCTGCGCCACGTCGTCCTCCGAGCTGAGCCCCGACGAGTGAGCGCTTCTACCCGATGCCCATGCCGCTGCAGCATTTGGAGCTGCAGGCGCATTTGAAGATGCATGGGGACAGGGACGGGCTGGGCGAGGGATGGAAAGGACAGGCAGCTTTGGGCTCTCTCTGTTGGCCAAGGAAGCAGTGCTGCTGTCATCTCGCCTCCCTGTCCGTGGACAGGTGGGTGCTATCATTGCCTCGGGCAGCCTCTCCCGGTGTCCCCTTCGGGTTCGGGCTGGAGGGACTTGGGAAGGAAGCCAAGCTCAGGTCGGCCCGGCTCTTTTGGTTGGCAGGCAGGCACGCACCCGCGGCTCGCTTTCCCGGCTCTGCCCAGCCCGCACAGCTCTGGCGCGGCCCTGGCGGGATGAGCGGAGGGTCCAGCAGGGAGGCGCTCGCTGCCTTGGTGAGAGCTCTGCCACCGGGCAGGAGGGCCCGCCTGTCAGCTGCGCTGGGTGCCCCAGACGAAGCTCTTCATGCTCTGCCCGGCACCAGGCAGGGGTGGTGGCTGGGCACTTCTCCCGGGGTAGGCCGATCCTGCGTTGTGGCCCCGGGAGATTCGCCTCCCCACGTGGGGTTGGGCTGCCCTCTCGGGCAGGGGAGTCTTTGTTGTAGTAGGGCATCATTTTTAAAATAATTGGCTTTACCTTCGAAGGCAAAGGGAAGGTGGCAACAGGAACGCCTGAAGCCGAGTGTCTCCGCCAGGTTCCGGTTGCAGGGAGGAGCCCTGGCTGGCCACGCATGGCTGCGCCAAACGCCGCGGCGCTGCTTTAAACGCCATGGCAGCATGGGGAGAAGGGAAAGCAACAGTGGCGGAAAGTCTCCTGACATGAAGTGCCCCACCAACGCCGAGGTCAACGCAGGCAGCACCATATCCGGGCATGCAACAAAAGTACTTCCTAACAGCCAGCCCCCCGCCATTCCTCCCCATTTCGCATGTTTAATATAGGCCTTAATTTGGGGGGAGGGGCTTAATTTGATTTTATGCCTATAAAGCATGCTGGGACTTCCTATTGGGGGAGGCCGTATTGTTGGAGAAACACGGTAGTATACAGTATTTAATCTTCAGCAAGTTATTTGACAAAGTAGACCACAAACCTACTTCTTGGTAAGCTAGAAAAATGTGGGACAGACAGCATTACCATTAGATTTCCCTCCATCCCAATTTTCAGACACCCAAGACACTAGACTAATTCACCAATCAACACCTTGTGCCCCATAAAAGTTCCACTTGGAGTAGACTAGTTTTTAAATGATATCTGTTGCAGCCACCAGGATTAAAGATGCAACACAAGGATTCTGGTGAGGGCTTTACTTTCAAATGAGATACCCATATGTAAGCAATCTAAAGCAGTAGGATTCCAATTAGTTTTCTTGAAACTTTGCCAATATAAAGGGGAGAAGACTTATCTGTTTTCTCAGGGACGGTCAAACTGCACTTGCTATTGTTCTGGAAACCACTATTAGTATAATGGAAAAAGAAGCTCTCGTAGTTTTATTCATATTCAGACTATGGAGGGAAAGAAACCACTTTTTCCAAGTCGCACTGCATTGTATAAGTGTGTGTGCCTGTTCTCTAGCATCTCTACTACTTTCACAGTACTTTAATCATTCTGATAGTTTAAACTAGTTTTATGGTTTTAATGTACTTTTATGTATTTGTTGTTTCTCATATCCTACTGAAAATTAAGCTAATAATATGCTTAAAAGTTAAATAAACCATAATAGTAAAATGAGCAAGAACCTTCCTGCCATGTGGTGCATAGCTATCGCCCATGGCAATATATAATTGGACATTTATAGGCTACTCTGTGGAGTGGATGACTTGGCAAGACTGCTCTGAAGATTGATTTAATACATTTTTAGATCTTCCAGATTTTATTGTGTTACATTTTACCAATTGCCTTAGATATCTGGCTACTATCCCCTGCTGGCTCAATACATTTTGATGCCTTAAAACAAAAACCAGATATTCTTCACTCACTGAGAAAACAGTTGGGCTACAACCTCCTCTCAATCCGCAGCAATCTGAACAATGTTTCATCCACCTAATGGCAGGATCTGGTCACTGTCTAAGTTGGTTCTCCCAGTCAGCATTTTTCCATGTGTCTTTCTCTTCCATTGCATCAAACAGCAAAAACTAAGGGATGCTATAGTTTTGGAATAAACCAGCTCACAGGCTTCACAGACCACTTGTTTCCCTTATGACAGCATCAGCCAAGACAAGAGCAAATGGGAAAGTCAGCTACCTCCTTGCTTCTTCCTTGTCCTTACTAGTTAAAAAGTCTATTTTTTCAAATAACTTTCAGTGGCCTACACCAAGCATTCTTGGTTGTTGTAGACAATGCATTTATTAGTCCAGTGTTTCAGATTCTAAAAATTCTTGTGTTGTTAATGGCATGTGACACTTGCAGTACCCAGACAGTATTAGAGAGAGAAAAGGGGCCAGAAGACAAGAACTCAACTGGCTGAGAAAGAAGAGAGGCTAGGTTTCCCTCTGTATAACATCAGGGGACCTATTTGGTTTTACTGCCTTCTAATGAGAAATGGACACAGTGAAATCAAAGCTAATCCTTTTTCCTGAGGTGCCCTTGCCAAGGATAATTTTTGCTCACAGCAGGCAGCGTTTTGTCACAAAAGATCGTTCCCCCAGTCCTGTCCTGGGAGAAAAGATCCTGCGAATGTTTCTTTCACACTTTTGTTCTATGCCCACCAGAGGGCACTTCAGACTTCTCAATGAAGCAGTTCATTCCCAAACCTTGACCGCTTCTGTGCCTGTCAAACCTGGTCTCCACCCACCTGATCTGATACATGGAAAGGGAACTGGGTGCTAAATTACTGGAAGAACCTCAAACCGGCCCCTCCTCCCTCCCTCCATCTGTCTGTCTGTCCTGTCACCTAGCTTCCACTTCATACCACAGTGTACGCCACCGCATAGGCGCTGAGGGCAGCATCCTTGGAGGGGAACGCCTTGCAGGCTGCAGTGACCAGGAGAGGATTTCCAGTGCAGGCTGCCTTGTCTGTGACGTAAATGGTGCCTGGGGGTGGTTGGCAGCCCAGCACAGTGTAGTTTGGTTGGCACACTGACAGGAAATGTGGAGTCTGGTTGCCGGTCACCACTTGGCCTGCATTGGCAAAGATGGTGGTAGTGAAGAGGCCAAAGGAATAAACACCTATGAAAGGAAAAGGACAAGAATGAGGAGTGGGGCAGAGCCTGGGGACTCAGCTGGGCCTAGGTAGGAGGGCATTCTCCTCTTACCCAGGAAGCGGATCATGCGGCGCAGAAGAGGATTGAAATAACAGCACTCGCCCGAGATGATGGTTTTCTCTTTATGCCTTGTGGGTTGGAAGAAAAAGGCAGCCAGTTCTCCAACAAGTATCTGGGGTGAGAGAGAGAAAGAAGCAGAAAGAGGAATTGTACTTTCTCTTTAATAGCAGTTGTTTAAAGTAAGCTCCGGGAGGAAAAGGCTGGGCAAGGGCAAAAGGGCTGGAGGATTCCTTCAAGATTCCTTATGTTTCCTCTCATAAGTGAAGTACTGCTAAGACTTAGCATGGGGGGCAGGTGGTTGAGAGGAAGTGACATTATTTTCTAGCTTCCAAGGTCCGAGACAGGCCAGCCCAAGCTGTGGGATAAACAGAGCATGCATTTCCATGAGGATAGACACTTCCCCCCCACATCTGTAACCTAGATGAGTTCTAGGTTACAGATGAGTAGATTCAGGAAGTGCTGGCAAAACAGATAGAAAAGCATTCTCACAGATCAGAATAGAAATACATATTTTTTTACATGACTCTTGGAGAAAATGTAATTCTTCTGTAGATAGTACCTGTAGCAGTTCAGAGCACAATAGGACTACATCAGTGGGAATTTAGTTCAAAGGAAATCATAGTTTTATTTCCATTTTCTCTTTGGTCACTAAGGTATTCCCAAGTGTTAATGAAATAAAAGCAACATAGCAATGCCCACTGTGTAGAAATGGCTGTCAGAGCAAGCAGGGCTCGTGCAAGGGACAGAGAAAGGAGGTGCAATAGAGAAAAGTCCATTCACTGGAGCAAGTCATCTAGGGAAGAAAAGCGATGCATTGAGGACCTCGTTAAAAAGGGGGAGAGTGCTCCTGTCAGATCTGCCATCTTCGGCATAGTGCTTTGCTGGCGTTCTGCCATAAATTGTTGGCGGGGAAGGGGGAAGAGAAAACAGGCAATTGGCATATAGAAGAGTGTAGAGAAGATCCAAAGGGAGTGGTGGTGAAGGTTTGAGAGAAGCCAGAGGTGTGAGAACCAGCCTGTTCTGATCTTCCAGGCTGCAGAGCCTGGGGAAGGAATGTGAATTGCACCAAGTGGCACCAAACATCCAAGCAGTTCCCAAAACACCTGCATAGAACACCATTGGACGATGTTGGGCCAGTCATGTAGGAAGGGCTGGGGAGAAGGGGAAACTTTGTAATGCTTTGTGAGGGAACCTGAACCTCAGTTCTAGCCTGTTTTCATTGCAACCACTAATCCTTAGTAAAAGAACCTATCACTTCAATCAAATGGAGTCGAAGGTCTTTCTTTCCTAGGGACCTAGTTGGGGCAAGCTTGACCAGATAATAACAGCTGAAGTGAAATAGGTCTCTTTTGTGAACGTGGGCTCTGATATCCTTATTGGAGTTTCTGGTCATTTTTTTCCCACACAGAAAAAGGATGGTGGGGAATAAAAAGCAGTTATGTTGCATATCTTACTGGTGAAGATATTGGATATGAGGGACTCATGTTCAGGTGTATGTCGAATTATCTGAATTAACACTGTTCTTAATACATCTTGTTTTATGAGAATAAATGGGGAGAGAATTATGTGTTTTCTCCTGAGCAATTTGGAGGAAAAGCCAGATAAAAGTGTAACAATGAAAACAATACAGAAACAAATTTGGGTTGGTACATAGGTCATTCTGAATATGAGAGGCAACGCCAATGAAAGCATCTGAGCAGACAAGAGTATGTGAATATAATATCATGTGAATATAATCATCCATATGATTCTAATGGGCGTGTCTTGTAAGCCCTCAAATACATCCTCACTCCATTTCCCAACAGAGCTTCAAATATGACTGGATGCCCTCATACTTCTCCTCTCCAGCAGTCAGTCTCTTTGTGGTCTTAATCTCAAGGAAATTAATACCGTCACAGTGAAGGCTGTGCCTATGTCATCATTGCAAAAGTATCCCAAGATACATTTACCAGCCCTTCCTCTTGAGGGGTTCTTTCTCCTCCCGTTTCCCTTGTGGATCTCTTACCATGATGGTGGGAACAGCAGTAACAAGAGAGTAGACCAGGACTGGAGGTGCTCGGCTACTGTCCTCTGGCCCAGGATAGGGTTTGGCCAAAGTATTGTCATAGCAGAAGAATCCTTGAAAGTGCACCGGAAAAGTGTCCGAATACTCAAAGTGGTAAGCCAGCACCACTGTGCCAGCCATGATTCCCAGCTGGAAAAAGAACAAGATGGCACATCAGGCACTACTAACAGAATGGGAGGCAAAGAGATCTTTCAGATCTTTGGAAACACAGGTGGTTGCCACCTGCCCGTTACTGCATGCAAATTTCTATGCATCTTTTCTTATTCAGAAAGAAGGTTGAGGAATAAGAGAGGAACCCAGCTTCCTGGGCCAAAATAAGGCTATTGTGCTCCTCTCTTATGTCCCTCCACTCCTGATTTCTTCCCACCTTTCCCAGACATTCCCCTTTTTACAATTCATAGCTCATAAATGATCCCAGGCCAACTCTCCGGGACTGAGCCCAAAGGAAGCAAGCTGAATGCAGGCTTCCATTTGACAGAGGAGAGGTTTCAGATATATGTCTGTTTTCTTCTGTCCGTCCACATTACAGGAAGCATCTGAATGCTTTTCATGGGATGTAAATAAATCTATTTTGCATCTATAAACAATTGCCATGCCTCATTTCCTCATTTTCAAAAATATGCCATGAAAATTTCTAAAAATAAGTAGATGCAATTTCCAAATGGCCAACCATCAACAAACATTTGAGGACCTTTCTAGGTTTGCTGAAAACTTACACAGAAAATTCGGGAAACAGTTCTATTTCAGGGGAAGGTATTCAGATTTGCACCCTTGTTTGTAAGTAGATATAACTCTAGAACAGTAGACTAACTAAATTCTTGAATACCCTTACATATTACAGAGCTGAAGCGTTCTAGGCCACTAAAAGGAAGGACACACTAGTAAAGCTATGAGATATGCAAGCCCTAACCCTAATCTGTTCGTACTGGCCTTCCTGCCCACAATGACCTCCATATGTGGAATATGGAGTAATGAAGACTAGTCATCTACCAAGAAGAGCAGGGCTGGCCCATATACAAAGATCCATCCAAGCAATGCTACCCAAGCAGCTTTTCTTGTAATATAGCAGGACAACTTTGCTTCACGTACTACTGAGCAGCTTCCAGGAACACTAGCAAAATGCAAACTCTATATTCCACTACTCCTCTTATAACCCTAAACTGAACTGGCTGCAGCATTTGAGTGTGGACAACTGCTTCCTAGTAAAGTGAGAATGGCTGTGTGTGTGTGTGTGTGTGTGTGTGTGTGTGTGTGTGTCTGTGTGTGCATGTGTGTCTGTGTCTGTGCATGAAAGAGAGAGAGAGAAGAGAGAGAGAAAGAGAAAGAGAGAAAACCGGGAACGTTGATCAAATTCTCTGGTTTTCTTACCTCCACAAACACAAAACAGGGTATAATGGTTATACTTCTCTTAAGCTCCTGCTTTCCACCAGCCATAGCAATTAGGCCTGGATACTTCTGCAAGGAAGAAGATGATTTATAAGATGGGGGAGAATCCTCCAAAACCCCTCTGCTATGTACATTTCAGAAGAAAAACCCCAGACAAGGCTGTGTTCTATTTTAGACAAGCATAATTCTTCCCTACAGGATTTCCCCTCCAATATTTCCAAACACTCCTAACATCATATTTTAAGGCAGGTGTGTTCAAACTGGATTGTGTCTTGAACCCCCTAAAACACGTGTGCTCTCTCAAGAATTACTTCCCTTGGATTAAGCTGGGGCAGGGAATAAATACCATTGCTTATTTTTAATGATTACATTTTAATCTAAATGTCAAAGGAGTTTGTGGTTACTGTACTGCTTTGCCCACCTCGGCCTTTGACAGGAAAATTAGTAGGCAAAGACCACAGAACATTTTAACAAAGCTGACATTGTGCCTCCAATTCCTGTTCAGTTTTTTTTAAAAAAACCTGTGACTCCAAATTGCTTGTGACATTCTTCTCCTTTCTGCAGAAATCCTAACCCACACTTTGATAGTTGCTTTTAGGCCAAGCAACAACTTTGATATTCTATATGAAAACTACCTGACCAAAGCATCTTCTCTTTTGGAGTCCAGATGCTCAGTTTTAGCAAAGTCACCCTACCTTGTCAAGCAGCCTGTGTAAAGTTTAAAGTCTTCTAACAACTCAAGGAGGATATGGCATCTACAAGAAAACAAAATAATAATGCCCCTTAGTTTTTTTAGAAAAAGATTATGGTGATATACAATACAGGTTGTTTTCGAGTTCTGACCACAATTGACCCTCAAATTTCTGTTGCTAAGTGAAACATTTGTTAAGTCAGTTTTGCCCCATTTTACAATCTTTCCTGCCACATTTGTTAAGTTAATTGGTGCAGTGGTTAAGTTAGTAACACAGCTGTTAAGTGAATCTGGTTTCCCCATTGACTTTGCTTGTCAGAAGGTCACAAAGGGCCATCACATTATCTCAGGACTCTGCAACCGTCATAAATATGAGTCGGTTGCCAAGCATCTGAATTCTGATCATGTGACATGGGCGTGCTGCAATTGTAGGTATGAAAAATGGCCATGGGTCACTTTTTTTCAGTGCTGTTGTAATTTCGAGTAGTCACTAAATGAACTGTTATAAGTCAAAGACTACCTGAATATGTAGCTCAGAGTAGAAACAGTGGAATCCTTAGTGTTGTCAGCTTTGAAATTCAGCTGCCACATATTTTTTTTAGAGAGTTAAAAAGTTGAAAAGTTGAAAAGTTCAACGTTATTCTGTGTGTCGTATTAAGAATTTGAAGTTGCAGTTAATTGGTTCTCGTGATTTATGAAGTGTAGAAGTGGGAGGAGAGAAGGGAGGAGAGAAGGTGGGTTCTGTGTAATGCACAAAAAAGCTTTCACTTGGGAAATTGCTTTGGAACGTGCCAGATCTGTTCCTAATAAATCAATTGGAGAGATAACATCTCGGAGTGATTGATATCATGGATACAGTCCGGATGCTTGACAAGTGCTCTCTGACGTTGGTTATTTGCTTGCAGACATTTCTTAACCCAACCATGTAACATCATCAGTGTGAGTGAGCAGGGCAAGCTACTGCAGATAAGCAGGGAAGCAAGCCCCAACCTAGAACTAAGAATAAATTTCCTAACAGTCAGAATAATTAATCAGCGGAACAACTTGCCTCCAGAAGTTGTGAATGCTACAACAATGGAAGTTTTAAAGAAGGGATTGGACAACCATTTGTCTGAAATGGTATAGGTTTCCTGCCTAAACAGGGGGTTAGACTAGAAGACCTCAAAGGTCCCTTCCAACTCTGCTATTAATTCTACTCTATTCTTGCTTGTCAGAAGATTACAAAAGATGATCATATGATCCCAGGACACTGGAACCTTTCATAAATATGAGTCAGTTGTCAAGCATCTGGATTTCAATCACATGACTATAGGGATGCTGCAATGGTTGTAAGTAAAAAATGGTCATAAGCCACTTTTTTTCAGTGGTCTTGTAACTTCGAACAGTCATTAAACAACAGTCATGTTGTAAGTTGAAGACTACCTGTACAATCAGGGAAAATAAACATTTTAAAATATTTTTTGAAAAACCAATACATAGAATGGTTTTTTTTCCAAAGCTACCTTCCTGACTTCAAATTTCCACTCCTCCTAAAATTATATTGCAGAAACCTAGTGCATATGTTACTGTGAACATGGATCAATGCAGTGGTTTCTTCTGAATGAATATGCATTTTAATATCTAATGTACAAAACCAAACCACAAAGAGCAATTGGTTCCAGGATCCAGCTAGCCAGCAAGCCAACCTCTGATTCTGAGGAGTCAGGGAAGGAGACAAATTAAAATAGGTGTTTTAAACTTCTCTCTCTGAGGGTGCTGAATTTTATTTTGGCTACGAGAAGAGCGTGTGGACGTGTATCCTGGAGTAAGGCAATTTTTGTGAATTAATGGAATCAAAGCAGGATTCAGCTCAAGAATTTGATAAGTATCTAATAGTTCAAAGCTGGGGACAGACATTTTGCAGTTTGTACAAAGAGCTGAGCAAACTTTTATCATGGCTGAGATTTGAACTCCTATGAGAAGGTAAGAGGAACTTTTATAAGAAAAATTTGTGCTACAGGAGTTTTGAATACATTTAAGTTCTAGTTGCAAAAGGGAGTTCAGAAAAATGCAGTCACCACAGGAACGTCGATTGGCCAAATCTACCATAAATATAAGGCTGGGTGTTGTCCCATCGGTAGACACTGCAGTCACTGGCTTCCCACTCTTCAGACCAACTTAGTGGGACTGGAATAAATCCACCAGACTCAGTAGTCTAGCCAAACCTGTAAAGGATTGTGTTGCATATTCACATAAGATTAGGGTCTTGTTAAAGACACAAGCATCTCTGGGAAGCCAGAAGCTCCAACTGTTTTTCCGAACAGCAAGAGTATTTTTTAATGCAAGTTTCATCATAATAATAGTAATAGTAATACTAAAAATTTTACAGTCAATTTGTAGAGACATTACTTAGTTATGCTTTTTTGTACAAGTGTCAGTGCAATATAAAATAATATTGCTTTATCTTCATATATAATAAGAGAAAAAGATAGGTCCTTACATTTCTGGACCTCAGAGATGATAAAAAATTAGTCACCTTCCCCACTGTTTCTCCTAATCTCTGCTGCTTTCTTACTTCTCCTTGCAACACATCTCTCTCTGGCCAAAGAACTGGAAAATTTGAATGCCCTACTTAGAAAGAAGCAAGCAAACTCAACTTCAAACAACATTAGTACATGTTAATACTGTATCCTGTATTGCTTTATGCAATTTATTCTGAGCAGAGAATCAGGATTCTTGTATAAATAGTGCACAATTTGTATGAGAACCTGTAGCAGAGAATAATGATCACTGTTCATAAATGAGAGTACAAAACACATTTCTCTATTAGAAACCCAGCTTATCCCAAATCTCAGTCCTCATAAATGCACAAGGATTCAAAATTCTCTTCCCTCAGTATGGAGGAAGATTGGGGGGCTGACTACCTTCTCCCCCTTCCTCCTCCAGCACAGATTGGAGCCCTACAAGAGAGCGCCATGCTGCTCATGGGGCTAGTCCAACTTCTCTAGCACCGTAACCAGTGTTGGAAGAATCCAGCTGCAAGATCTATGGGCTGACTGCCCCCTTTGACAAGTGACCCACATCCATGGCAACTCATCAGCCCCTGAGCCAAGCTGAAGCAAAGTGGCACCCTCTGCCTCCGTGGTTTCGCTAACGGCATCAGTGACCATTTTGCTGCAAATAGCAATCAGGACAGCAAGTGTGTGTTCATGTGTAGGCATGTGTGCGTGGTGAATGTTTTAAAGGACTGTGTAGCTTAGCAACACAGTGCTTTAAAACATGCACAAGCACAATGCACACACAGAGAACTGCAATTGTCAAAATTGCAACAATGGTAGTGTGAATAGGCAATGGAGAAGCAGCAATGGAGAACCCATTTGTCTTCAGAATGGAAGACAGATATTGCAAGCTACCAGTTCTCCCCTCCAGGAAAATCCCCCCACAGCCCAGCCGTTGCATCTCTCACCTTCTGTCTGTAGGAGTGGCTTTTTAGGCAGCAGCCATGGCTTCCTTGGCCCACCTTAGTTCTTGTCTCCTCCTCCTTCTCTTCGGTAAGCAATTTTAACAGTCTGTCAGACGGAGCAAGGAATCCACGCTGATCACGCCAATATTGTAATTAGACCCTGGATTGCTGGATGAAACATTATTTTGCATTAGCAGCTGGAATGAGGGAGGGAGGGAGGGAGAGCGAGAGAGAGAGAGAGAGAGGAGTGCAACACATACATATGAATGCACATACGCAGGCACACACACACACAAAGGGAGGAGATAGTGGGAAGGAGAATGCTTCAAGAGGGGATATTCAATGAAATGCTGGCTGTCTCTTCTGTGTCAGAAGGGTGAACATTGCACAATCAAGAAGGCTCAGCTAAAATCAATAAATCAAAGCTTCACTTCCGATTCTAAACAAGCCAGCTTTGTTGTTCCTTGTTTGAATTGAGTTTCCCTGTAATATACTCATATAACTGGCCTCACATTTCTACCAATGATTAGTACTACAGGAAAAATGAGGCACTAACCATCCAAATTTATTGCCAAACATGCTTCAACAACAATTGTTGGGTGCACACATTTCAAACTCAGATTTTACAGTAAAACGTGAATTACTAGTTACAGAAAATGTAATTCAGGGATAACACCAACTTCTTGAAATAATTGTAAGAAAGAAATTCAGCTTGCATTTTTCTGTCAATTTTATCAGGAAAGATCTTTTATAAAATTGTTTGAAAAATCCTTGCGCAATTTCAAACATCTGTATTTTCCTCTATTTACTTTTGCGACAGTAAAAGCAAGAGTTTAGTTGCTTTGTTGCAAAGGGAAATGGAAATATGGTGATCATACTGTCAAAAACACCAATAGTGTATGGCATTTAAAAGCC